ATTCGCCTCCTGCCCATGGGTCGCAGGTGAGTATGGTCAACCCCATGAGCCTTACGATGCGCAGGCACCCGGCGGTTGAAAAGGGTTGGGAGCCTTCGTTGGGTGGAGGAGCAAGAGCATGCTGAAGCATCCGCTGATGGCCGGAACTTAAGAGGCGGGTGGATATATATGTATATATATTTACATAATATGCAATCGTATGCATACCATGTATGTGGTCACGCTCGTTTGATGTTCTCGAATGTGAGTGGCCAGCACCTGGTGCGAAGTCGCCCTTGAAAGATTGTGCCTCTCACATCCTTTCACCAATAAAGGCCTTTCCAGATGCCAGTCTTGTGTTGTATGTTTGAATCTATTTGCAGCAGCCTCTTTGATTTTGATTCATGTCTGTACTGTACCTCAAATCTTGGCCAAGCATCCCACCGTTCTCCGTCCGTCCGACCCATCTCTGGTCGATCCCAGGCGTGAACGGCCGCGCCGAGGGCCCATCGTCCGCGACCAGGTGTGGTGAGCGGACGGAGGGAGCCGGTCTCCAAAGAACAGACGCTACCCTAACCAGCCCTAACCACCGGCCAGAAGTTGAAGTTCAAGTCAGAACCACATGGTGTGGCCTATGTGGAAGACTTGAGAAGAAAGTGTAGGATTCAACATGGCCCTCTTTGGGGCCCCTGTCTGCGTTCACAAGTCTTTTTGCAAGATCAAACGCCCATCTTTCTTCTGGTTCTTGTGGGCATGGAGATTCTCATCAGTCCATATTTGTTCATCAAGAGCATGCTTCCAAAAACATCCAGAGTAAGGACACGGGCATCCAATTTTCCTTCACACAGAATTCAAACCCTTTGTTGGTGTTCAAAATATTTTATGGTAACCCTCTCAACGCGATGTTCTTTTAAGTCTTATTTTGCATGGAGGACACCCTCACAGACTTGGCTGAAGCCCTCCCTGCACCAGGAAAGAGCCAAGTACCCTGCAGGCGAGTCATCGCAGTTGGGAGGTTTGAGGCACTGAAGCGCTCACCGCTCCGACTTTCTGAACAGGGTTTGCCATAGAGAACCTCAGACACCAACGAAACAGGGACCTGGACCCCAAGCTGTTTCAAGAAGTCGCAACCAAATGAAGGGAGGGATGGGATTTGCCGCGGCTATAAGATGATTCCATCTCAGACATGTTTCCATTTTTGGCAAAAGGTATCGTGCTGTATGTTGCTGAACATGTGTATAAGTATACTGTACATCATTTATACGTATGTTTACATGTGCCAATGACAATGATAGATGTTTTCTCAACATCAATACGGGCCCATGCCCGTGTCCTTAAGCTGTGCTCAGGGCCGATTCATGGATTTTCTCCAAGGATGTGTGCTTCAAGAGCTGTACGAATTTGGGTACCTAATGTGACGGGGGGGACCCGGGGACCCTGACTGGGGAACGCTGGGAGGCACGTTGTTGCGGCCGGTGCGCATGTCCAACGAGGAGAGCTTCAGGAAGATGGGCGGCCCAAGAACGGATGAGAAGAACTCAGAAGAACCATGAAGAACCAACATATATGAGGGATCATGTAGACCAACATATTTGAGTCAGAGGGTATCGGTATCTCATTCTTTCAAGACGCAGGCATGGTTGTTTTGAAATGGCTTGGCAGCATGTCATCATTTATGGCCACCATATGTTGGGTCTTGCAGCAACGTCTCAACAAAAAAGCGGATCCAAAAAGAGCATCCTCAGGTAGTTTGTGGAGGATTTAGCCCATCAAATCGTCCTAACATTTGCCTATCTACTTGTCGATTCCTTGTTGGCTTCTTGCCCATGGCTGTGTCCGACCGTTGAAGAATCCGTCTCAAGGACTAGCTGACTAGCCATTCTTTGGTTTTCCACACTCCATGGGACCCCAGAAACCACCCCAAGTGATCGGTAAACATGCCAGTCCCAAGTGATCGTGTTTGGGTTTGCTTAATGTTCGACCTCATTGCTTTGTGCCATGTAATTAGACTCTGAAGTTCCTCAGACGTCCTGAGATACAACTTTTTTAGAAGGCCATGGTGAACATGCAGCACGAGCATCTCACCAGCTTTAAACACACAGCTTGGCCTGCGAACGTTCTGAAGATCATGCGGTGGCCAAAATGAGGGCGCGGTGTTGTCCTAGGTGTCAATCGTCAACTCCAAAGAACATGGCCTGCTTTGCTGTTGTGTTGGTCAGTGACCCTTTTCTTTGGCCTCTGAAAGCACGAAGTATGAAACCAATCACATCTAAGTACCGATAGCAGAGAGGCCTGCACCACCTGAGGGTGGCCAGAAAAGGCGCCCAAAGAGAGAAAGTCAGATGTCTCGAAAAGTGCACCTATCATCTCATCCTACCCAGTCAGTGGACAACCTGTAACCATTTTTGGGGGGCTCATTGGTTTCGGTGAACAGTTCGGATTAACCTCGATTTTCCGGAAACGGCTTGGGAGTCAGTCTTCGTATCACCTCAACGAGTGAAAGTCCATTGACTCCATTTCGAGTTCGGATGCCTCCCAGGTTGATCGACAACTTCGGCAGCTCTGCTCGCGTCGACGCGGTGGGGAGCCGCCGAAACATAGGGCAGAACTCGGGGTCTCGTCTCAGGCAGCGGCAAGTACAATGATGGTCTCCAAATAGATAGAAACGGTTTCCAATACTGTAATGGGAACTTACATGTCTATCACGGGGTCAGTACTGGCAAGTGACATCTCGTTTGGACTATTTGGAGGGAAGCCATTTCTCGAAAGCCTCGAAAGGAACATCGCATTTTTGCATCTCTCTCTCTCTCTCTCTTTCCTCTCTGTCTTTGTCTCTTTGTCTCTCTCTCTCTCTTTCGCTTGCTCGCTCGCTTTCTTTCAATTCCCTCTATTAATATTGATGATTTTTTGTGTATGTATATATATATATATACACCCTGAAACCACTGTCAAATATTGCCTTGAATGCGCACTATGCATGGCCCACACCTAGCACGTCCACTGCAACTTCTCATTCAGCTGCATCCTACATTTCAAGAATCGTTTGCAGGGATTAACCGGTTTGTTTGACCAGAAAGGCTCGTTGGTGTTGCACACCCCACCACCTTGTTACCCGCCCTGTGCATTCAAATGTCCGCAACCCCACAACCCGAAGCCCGCGTGGCGCGTGTGGCTCGGCCGCAGAAAGAGTCACATCCTTCCAGAGCATTCAGCATGATTCCCAAGACGAATCTGAGAGTGCTGTGAAGAAGTCAGCCTCGTTGATGAAAAAAGCGCGGCTATACAGGCAGGCCATGGCTTGCCTTTCTCAAAAAGAAGGGGCTCTTTGAATTCTCCTCGCTTGCTTTATGTTGTTCATTTATGTTTGTTTATGTGTTTTATTTGTCGGTTTGGAATTTTATTGTTGCTCTGGCTTAGCAATTGTTTCAAGCCCAAATGACATCAGTTGTGGAGTAGCGATAGCTCCTGACATCACATTTCCTGACCAGTTTACTGGTGACTTGCGGCCGAAACGCCGGAGTCTTCGGTGTTTTGGATTTGACGGTGAACGGTTGCTGGTTGGATTCGGCAGTGCACGGAATGCGTATGGCAAAGCTAAGAAAGCTTTTCAACGCCCCCGTGAGGTGCATTGGGACGTCAGTCGTGACGTCAGCATGCTCGTACATGGATGATGAGTGTGGTGGCGTGTGGTGTAATATGCAGGAGTATGCCGGAGAAGGTCCACACATGTCTTTTTGTTGTTTTGCTTGAAAGGTATTAGGTTTAGTTCAATTAGTTTCGTTCCCATGCACTGTAGGACGGATGCACATGTGTCATGAGAGCGGTGATGATGTTCTCAGGTAGGACAGCGGCACTGATCAGAGTGTCAGTCACAACTTCGCATGCAGCCTCCCGTTCATCTGGATTTTGGTGCAACTCTTTGTGACGACTTCGCCTGCGAAGCTGCAAAACCAATGAGAAACATGTTCCTGGTCCGAGCTCCAGTCTGTCTCGGACTGCTGGACTCACTGGTTGATTCGATCATAAGTTGAGCGGTCATGGTGCGTTGCGTCTACAACGTCCCAAGTGCCCAGATAGTTTCCCTTCCCCGGCCGCAGCCAAGCTGTGAGTCGCACGACGACCTCACGCGTTCGGCCAGGCAGCCCAGGTTGGCCGCTGGCTGCGTTGAGTTCACTCGTGTTCAGCTCGAGAGCTAGAGAGCCAAAGAATGCTTCCACCGAAAAAGACCACGTGGTGGTGGACCACATGGTGGGCGTGAGGATTGTGCTCAGGCTTGACAACATTCAACATTCATTGTCTATACCTCCAGCAGGTGGAGTTGTAGAGTCATCAGACTTTGAGGAAGAGAGTTCTGGGGAACTGTCTTATATACCTCAATTGCCTTGAATTCGACGAGTTGCAGTCTATGTTGTATTTTAATGTATTTTAGCTGATAACTTCGACAGAGGGTTCCTGGAACATGAACATAGCTAGTTCGTTACTATTTGCCAATGTGCCAGACAGAGCTTCACAAAACCTTTGACGGATTCAATATTTTTTTCAATGTTCCCTGACAAGAGCTCCTTATTCTCTAATTTCACTCACCATTCGATCTCTTCCATGACAGATATAGCAGGTAGTATGACAGGTGCTTGGCCTCTCTTTCAGGGTCTGCTTCTGGAAGTGTTGTCCTAAACAGGTCCTAACTGGGTCGGACGTGGTTTTGACCCGACTACGCGGGAGCCGAAGTCAGGAGCTGAGGGAGAGAGGACGACCAAGATGGTCGAAGGCACCACCACCAGGTGTGGATTGCGCATGGTTGCGCCCTGCGTCCTCGGCATTTTTCGCCCCATTTCCTGGTGAAAGTGACATTCCGCAGCTGTGGAGTAATCAAGGTCATGGCCATGGTGCAGTTTTTCAGACTGGGTGCCAAGAAGAGAAGTTCCGATGGCCAAGTTGAGTATAGTTGAGTCATGATGCCAGTCGGATCAACTAGATATTCGTTTGGTTTTAGAGGCAGCTCACTGTCACAGTAGCAGAAACTCACGTGATTTGAACAGGAGGAGGGGGGGTTCCGTGTATGTCCGAGCCCTTGTGAGGGAGGCGCCGTGCAAAACGAATCGGCAGAAGGGTGGCTGTTGTTTTCTTTCTTGCGATGTGGGTTTAATTCTTTGTTTGTTTGGGCTGTTTGGTGATCTACTGGTTGTTGGTTGGAGTTGGATGTGTTTTTTGGTGTCGTGGTGAGTGGTGACATGTTCGACAAGCTTGAGCAGCTCTTGCTTGGAACTGAATAAGACATAATAAGACTTCTGGTATATTTTGTTGTTCGAGTAGCGGCTCTGTCTGTGTTGCTTCTCTGTTGAACAACCAGTGTTGGAGTAGCGACAGAGCACATGTGACTATCTTCAGGGAATTGCCCTATTTGCACGGCTTGTGGTGGCACGGAAAATTCGAAGGAACCTTGTGTGACTCCGTTTCCCCGAAGCCCTTTTGTTTGTTGCTCACTTCTTCGGTGAAGGTACATCTTCTTTGCACCAGTGCAACCAATCTTCAGACACACCTGGAAAATGAGGATGCTCGACCAAGTTCCCAACATTTGCCGCACATACTCAGCCCGTAGAACGACGCGGTTCACGGCGTCCTCCCTGGAATGTTAGACGTGCCTGGCGTCGGGGGACACCAAAGTGATGAAAGACATTGTTGGTTTGATTGGATTGGTTGGTTGATTGTTGGTTTGTACATGTTTGAACTTTCTTGGGATTTGTTTTTGGTTTATGATTGGTTGGCCAAATGAAAGTCATCTCTGATACAGACTTAGGATCAGCCAGGAGCTGGATCCTTCAGCCACCTCGGCTCACGTTCCACCCGCCTGATGCTTTGGGATTCTTCACCCTTTTTATCAAATCCTCATCTCCATGAGCTGCTTGGTCATTCCAGAAGTAAGAACTACCGTCCCCTTTGATAGCTGAACCATATACTCGATATACTGTACAAATTTTTGGGCTCCCCGGCTGGGTTGAAAACCTGCTCCCAGTCGCTTGAACCAAGGTCAACGGATTTTCGCAGCTAAACAGCATTGAAAACACTGACACAGATATTTGGGCCTGCTGCAGGCCACCCCCCCATGGTTACGCGGTGGCACGCCGAAAACAGCGCGTCCGAGGCTTATTCCCAGTCGAGTTCCAAATATGTTTTGCCTTTAAGGAAGAGGATTGCCATGGTTGCTTTTTGTATAGCAAAGATTCCACATACAGAATCAACAGAAGCTGTGGCAGTGCCACGCAGATCCTCAGATTCAATCGTGTACGAGCCACCGACATGAACAGATCCATGGACATGTCGATGCCACGAATGGCCTTTTGCAATCTTTTACGCCCTTGGTTGGTTGATGAATAGGTGGGATACCTAGTGAACAAGCAATAGGTATATACGGTACTGGTGTATCTAAGGAGAGCCAGGGTACACAGGGTGTAGTCCACTACCTTGACACCCCGCAAAGAAAACTTGTAGAACATGAAGACAGATGACATGTCTTTGGATTGCAGATCATGTGTTGTCAGGTTTCAACTGAAGCGGCTTGGACTCTCACCATCACACCACACAACCTGCGATCTTCCGAGATGCACCGTGGGGTTGAAATTGGTAGTTATATATAAACATCAACTAAGCTGCACCCACCCACGTCTTTTATGGGAAAGCCAGAGCATTGGATTGGAGATGTTGCCCCGATCAGTGAACAAAACTTGCTTTGCACATGTTGCCAACTCCTCCTTGGGATTCCTTGTGCAATGACTGTCCCCGAGAGTTGTTCAATGTTGTTCATGTCTCAGACTGGTCCCAAGGTCGAGCCCGAGAAAAGGTGGCTCAGGGAAACCCCAATGGATCTACAAATTCAATCCTATACAGCCTATATTGTCCTTTGTTTGAAGAACTAGATGTTTGTGCTGCCTTGCAACGTCACGGATGGGTGGGTTTTGGAGGGTCCTGTTTTCAGACCATTTTGGAGAACCATATTGTTTCAAGGGAGAGCTCCTAGCCTGATGGGTTTTGATCTATTTTCCTTTCTTTTTTGAGGGGGTCAAACTGGGAGTATCTGAGAAACTGCTTCGCCCCGAGGCCTGCGCGGGCCTCCAGCGGCCTCAGCTGCTTCGCCCGGCGGTCGCCGCGATGGAGCGGGACGAAACGGTAGACCGGTGACACTAGAGACCTCCAAGGCTGGTGTTTGACCATATCTAGACTCTGGATTAATAACTCCCCCAGACATGGATGCTGTAAATGATTCATGATGTTAAAACCTCCTCAGGCTTGGGGGGTTGAAGGGTCAGCAACTTCAAAAAGAGCTCTTCAAAAGTGATGAGCTTTCTGGGAGCGGCTGGGCAGCTATTTTATGCGATTCTGGGCACCAGATCAGGTCAACCACCAAACGTGGAGGAAACCGATCAGGTACTTCGGGAAGGTAGAGCGATTGGGGTTTAGGTGATTGGCCCTACCTTTTGATGTAAGTAGAAGCTCCCAAACTGCTTTTCCCAGCGGACCAGCAGTGAGCCAAGCAGACCAACAGCCGGGGCAATCAACATGTCACATCCAACTCCCGAATCAGATCCCTCCCCAGCTTCACCAGGAGACATCCGGTGCAGCTCTCAGCGGAGACATGAGGAGCTCTCACTCCTTGAAATGATTCATGGAAGTGGATGATTTCAGGGAGTCTAGAGTTCAATTACATGGCCCATGTTGGTCGCTGCAGGGATACGAAGACATGGCCTCAAGGTCATGGCGAGTGGACAGGTCGAGGTACTGTTTGCAGCTGTGCTGGTACTTGTAAGAGGCGGCTAGAACCCTTCTGGACAGTGTGAAGGGACATTAATCAACCACTGGTAGAAAAAAACGAATCATCTTGATGTTGTGTGTTCTTTTGCACAAAAGCTGCCTTCAGAGCCACTCAACAGAAAATAGATATAGAAACAAGACCTCGTCATCAACGCGGCCATGGACACATGTATATTACCACACCGCCCCTTCCTCAAGGAATACGTTCCTGGGTTTGTATCAAGGGGCCTTTCGAACCATCCCCACAGAAGGATCAGAAGGGAAAGTCGGGAAAGTAGAAGAAGGCACATTAGTTGCCCAGCCACGTAAGAGCTCAAGTTCCTCCAACTCACTCACAGCGCCTTGCATTCCCAGGTCCATCAGGCCATGCGGATGCTCCTGGTCCTCGTTGCTCAAATGAGCTTCGTGGCAGGCCGGGCCTGAGAGAAAGAGCCGGGTGGGGGCGACCGCACCGGTTCTGTCGAGTCTTTGTATGCCTGTAGTGTGATCATGACGTGCGCTCCTCATGCGGGTCTCAAACTTACATCTAGAAAATGCAGAGAATGAATGAATTTGTCTATAGTGGTGATTAGTGGTGCCCCAATAGATAGAAACGGTTTCCGGTGGTTTCCAGTATTCAATCTACTTTTCTATCTATTTGGGGGTCTAGATAACCGGAGATGTTCATGTATCCAGTAGATTCCTCTGTGGTTTGAGCTCTTTGAGCCCGGACCAGTGAGATCTGCAGACCATGAAAACAATCTCAATGGTTTTCCAGAAAACAATACAAAGAAAGGGTGCACACGGTGGAACCAGCCTGGTCACTCCTTCGTCTCCACGAACAGCTGATCAGCTTGGACCATGCACTGTGGTTCCAGTGGTGGTCCCTTATGGTCATCCACCAAAGGACGTGATGAAAAGAGCTTGGTCGGAGAGGGACGACTGGACCACCGGCCGCACATCCGTTCCGAGAGTTTCCGAACATGTTCTGTTCAGGTCCCAGGCTAGAACAATGCCATCTCCGTCTCTGTCTAGCGAACATGCCAAGAGTTCATTGATTCAGGGACCATCCCAACGTTCTGAAAGCTCCCTGGGCTCAGCTGGCAGGTGAGGCAGACTCGCCGGCCAGGCTGGAAGATGTGCAGAAGGGTTTCAGTTTGGGAAGGATGGGGAACTGGGCATGTCTTAAAGTCCTTTACATAGAAGATATAGAATCACTGCCGGCAGGAGGATTTCCTGCATTCACGGGAGCTGACAGAAAAAAAAGAAGACTCTTGAGAGATTTCTTGGGTGTGAAAACAGCGCTGCAGAATCTCCTTTCATCAACCTCCAGATCTCTAAAGCCTGGGAGAACACACGAAACATTTTGAAACCATCCCTATATAGCGTAATTACCATCACATCACCCTATACATTCTATAGCCGGTCCAAAAGAGCCCGGTTTCAAGAAAGCCACTGCTCATCAAGGCTGTTTCTTGGCTAAAGAAATCTGTCCCCCTGATCCCCCCTGTACATTGTCCCATGAAACCACTGTTTACACGCCCAAAGAATGGCCACCATGCGCCAGAAGGCTGCCAAAACGACCCGATAAGAGGTTTCATGGACAAACACACAAAGACCAAACTGATGAGGGGATCCCAAGTCTGAAGTCTAAAGCAGATGGGATCCCCTCATCAGACACGAGGGCTCAGTTTTCCTGATGAGGGGATCCCCATACACTTAAAACATGTTTTTGTGTGTTTTCCTGAGGCCCGAGGGCTCAGTCATCCCAAGTTGGCTGGCAGATGGCTTAGTAATTTGAAGTTCTAGCTGCGATGATCCAAGTGTTTGAAGTCTTCCCAACATACCGGCCAAGACACAATAGGCAATCTTCACGTTTATTCAACTAGTGCCACCATGCCGAGTCCTCTATTCAAGCTATAGAAGCGAAGCAAAGGAACAGCTTTCAGCTGCTTGTTCCCGTCTCGAAGCCATTCCTCACTCCGGAGGAGTTATTAACTACGCGGCCGGGCCACAACCTGTGTGAAACCTGTTTGGACGTCTCAGGTTTTGTTTCCCATAGAGCTACCATACAAGTGGAATACATGCATCTATAGTAGGTCTCCAAAAAAACTAGTTCAGCAGGTTCTTACCCTTTGCAGTTCATCATCAGAACCATCCACTCACCCGAGAACACCCAGACCCTCCCCTTGTTGCCATGTCTGAAGACATGGATCATCCCGCGCAAAATACGCAGCGCGCCTAAACCAACGCGAGGCGTACTACCGCGGTGAACGTGGGCTATGAGGTTTTTTCCGTGGATGGCTCCAATGTAGCAGTGGCCTGGCTGCAGTCACAGCGTGCCCACCCTGGACCGGGCAGAGGGCGGGATAGGTGCTGTCGAGCATGTGACACCTCCATGCAACAGGTTGTCTACCAAGGTTGCCATGTTTGATAGCTAGACCAAGAAAGCAGGCAATCCTATGGGCCATTATGGGCCTATGGGTGTCATAAGTACATATTTGTCATGTCTTTTGTCCTGGCAACCTGTTGAAGAGCTCAAAAGATGTTTCACACAGCAGGAACCGCAGGGTGCCGACCGCTTCCCTTTATTAGTGGGCTTGAGCCCCATAGGCATATAATATATTCTATAGTTTGAAGCTTGGAATACACGTTTGAATGAGTTTTGCTTTCTGTCTATTTTTGGGGGGTAGGGGCTAGGGCTGGCAGATGCTCTTCTAGGGGCACCGTTGCTAACTGATAGATATGCCTTCCACAGGTCATCATTGTACCATTGTGATTTGCTTTCTGAGGGGTTGGTGATAACATATGATAACATCCCCTGCTGCAGAAATACTTATCATTTGTTTAGGAGCATGGGAAGCACTTGTTGGGGGTCACATGCACCTTGGAAGATGGCCTTCCAGAACCATTTGTTGGGGTATAGACGGCATATGACGGTATAGAGGTCCAGAGCAAGATCTTCTTCCGAGGGTTGTACACTCCCTGAAATAATCAAGGAAGTGGACCACCACCTGTTTGGTATTCGGAAAATGGTCGTCCTTTAGGCCATGCCATCCACTCTTGGTGAGGACATGGCTGTGCAGAGTGGACTAGCCAAGCATGGACGACGAACCATTTTTTGCGTCGATGACCGTTGAGATTGGACGCTTTTAAGGGAAACGTTGGAGGCAGCCGCATCCAGACCCTTGCATGGACAACCCTTGATGGAAAACCGAGACCATGCACCATCCAGTTTTCCAGGAAAGTTTGCTTTCCTTAAGCCGTAAGCAATCCTGGTTTTGTTGATGGACGACATGTATGGATGACCCCCTATACCACCTAAAGGGACGAACAACAGCGAACACACGTTTTGCAGGGTGAACTCACTGTGTGTCGAAGGTGGCACAGAAGAACATACTCCATCGACAAACTGACCTGAAGAACGATGGAGAACATCTATGAACATATATAGATCCGAAAACGATGTAGATCCACATTCAAAACCTTCAATTCTGGCATCCGACGATGGCATCTACTTCATACTCCTTCACACCGCCCACCGAAGCGCGAGTGTTTCGCGAGCGAAGCACGCAAGGCGGAGCCACGAAGCACGGTGAACGTGCGACGCCTCGGTGTGTGCGCTGCGCTGGGCCACACCACTCCCAACGCACACTGATGGAGCCTACCATGAAGGGATGTGAAGGGGCAAGTTTCTAAACAAGTTCTTGTAACAGGATCCCGCACCTGATAGAATTGACCAGATGGATGGGAGATGAGGCATGTTGAGGGGTGTAGAATCATGGGGTTCATGCACCTGATAATAGTTAGATGATGTTAGATGATAGGGCCGATGTAATTGACAGGGTTGGTGATGAGTTATGTGATGTTAATGGTGGCACAATGCGATTAGTGACCCCGTGAAGCCATGATTGAAGTGGATGGAAGTAGTAGACCCAAGCCGCAGAGGCGAACACCTCGTGGTGGTACTGGACACAACTAGGCTAATAGTCGACTCATGTGCTTTTTTGGATCCTCTCGAGCTGATTGCATATTCTTTAAGCACATATGGAATTGGACCATCATGGCCGTGCCACACCTGCCATACCGAGGTTGTTGCTTGAACAAGGATGTTTTGACAACCACTTTCCTAAGCAAGCTAGTCATATGTCCAATGCAAGCCCAACCAGGACTGACGACCCTCGGCGGTTCTCGGCCTCAATCGAAAGACCATTTCCATTGTGCAGGGCTTCTGGAGGAAGCTCCGAACAATTTCAATCAATCCCTGCAATCCTACATGGGGCTCGAATCTTTCATTGATTGCTCACAAGGGCGAGTTTCTTGAAATGGGACATTGAATCCTGCAGTGATTCTTGTTAGGTACTGTACAGGTGGTCGAATCATGTGCTGTGATGATTGTTCAATGATCTGGTAAGTTTCTGAACCTCTGTGAAGAGAAACTCAATGTTTCAACCTTCTGACAGCACCGGGC